ATAGGCGATCATGGCTCTCCTCTATTTCCCTCTATTCCTTGCAGCTCTCAATAAATTTCGTCTCTCTGCTACCTCTACAAGACCACGTTCTGTAATCCACTTGCTCGAGAACGCCAGGTATGTCACGTACTGATTTCCCTTGCCTTTCCCCCCTTATTCGACCTGTGAGTATCAGATTCTCCAGGCTGTTCTTTCTCATTAGTTGTCCCAGAAACTTCAGCTGCCTCTTCCTGATGTTAAGTATAAGCCTTCTTCGTTGTTTCATCCTCTCCAAGACCTCACTTTCTCGGTCCATGATATCCATAGTATCCTTCTGTAGAACCACATCTCCGTCGTCTCGAGTCTCTTTTTCATCTTTGAGGAAACCGTCCAACATTTGCTGCAGATTCGAAGGCAGATGTCATGTAACAGCTCAGTACACTTTGATCCTAAAGAGATCCTCCTCTCTCGCAATACTCTGCTCAGCTTTTGGAATATGTCCTTAGCTATCCCAATACGTCTTCGGATCTCAGTGTCACACTTACCGTCCTCTGTCAAAACACTGCCCAGATATTTAAACTTCCGCATCTACTTGATTTTAGTGTTCCCGACCTGCAAATCGGGACTCGTCCTTTTACTGATGACCATAGATTCTGTATTCTTGTAGTTTATGCTTAGTCCCTTCTTATCGCCCTCCTTCTGTAGGAGGTTTTGTTATTTCTTTTCCGTGTTTGCTATCAGTACTGTGTCATCTGCGTATCTTAAGTTGTTAAGATTGTGGCAGCCAATGCTGAATCACGGTAGGATTTCCATTTCTCCCAGAATTGCCTCGCTGAATAGGTTGAATAGGTCCGGTGAGAAGACACATCCTTGCCTTGCGCCCACTTTGTATTTTTGCATATTCACTGCATGCATGCTCTTTGCTGCCAGTATAGGTTCTTGATTATTCTAATATCTTTCCCGAATATATCAAGGTTGCTGAGCAGTTGCAACAGATCTTAATGGCGTACTTTGTCGAAGGTCTTTGCGTAGTCTAGGAAACATAGGTACACGCCCTTCTGCATTTGTATTGTTCTTTCCTATAAAATTCTGAGCATGAATATCGCGTTCCTTGTTCCGATGTCTTTAACGAACCCGCACTGTTCTTGTCCTATTTCTGGCTTGATTCTGCTGCGCGCTCCCTTCGTGTTCTCAACGAAAGAACACGGAATAATATTCAATTTACTATACAGACATATAATCAGGAAACCGTATCGACATGGTGGTTTTCTAAATATAAATTAGATGTGGTACAAGGCCGAAAGCGTGGAGCACCCAGTGAGGATCGAACTACAAATCAGTCGTAATTGATCTAGCAAGAGCAGGTTGCTAATCATTACAACATTTTGAGGTAACCCGATTTTCTAAGCGCAGCTTAGATGTGACACAAGGCCGAAAGTGTGGAGCACCCAGTCAGGATCGAACTCACTACTCAGTCGTAATTGACAAGCTTTCTAACTATTACAATCACGTCGAAGTGCTCTACGAATGTCTATTGATATATGTGTACAGTAACTTGAATATTATTCTGTCCTTTATTATAAATAAACACGCATACATATATGTCTATATTTTTGAGATGAGGTATTGTAATTATTTACATTGTCCGGACTGTTATCCTCTACTTTATTGCCATATTCATATGTGAATATGGCAATAAAGTGTCAGGAAGTCATTTACAATTTAAAATATGAGGTAAACATTTGGAATGATTTCGGTCCATACCAAAGTAGTTATACAGTAAGAATTCTACGAGTATTACCAGGATTCTACGAGTATTACCAGGATTCTAAGACTAATTCTAGGAGTAATTCTATGAGTAATTCTAGGGTTCATTTAATTCATTAAAATCATTTTTAATATTTTTCTTTTCATAATTTTTATTATAATACATTTATTACATGGGGGAGAGCTGAGCAGACCTCACTTTCCGGTCACGATAGCGTTTCGGAGTCCTTCTGGGTGACGAATTATTTTCCGTCCTTCTTCCTCTCTCTCACAAGCGGGATGTGACGAGCCTCTCATTGCTCTAAGCCTACTACCATGGAAAATTCTCGGACGAACTACATTCCTTTGTTCCGTCAGGTCTAGCCTTCCTGGCTAGGACCCGTCATGGCAAACCACTCACATTCCCTCTGTATTCCGTCTGTGAGAAGTCAATTTCTATCAAACATTGGAACCGACTCCCAAGAGGATGCTTCCGTGATCCCTACAAACTTAAGCCTGGGTTAATTGTTATCTCCTCTAATATCCGTATAAACTACCTCTTAATGTAACCTTCTACCACGGAGTGGGCTCCCTGGACTTGTACGGGGTGAACATTACTATAAAAAATATAAATATTTTTAAATAACTAATAATAAATATAATTATTTTTTTAATAACTAATAATAAATATAATTCTTTTTTAATAACTAATAATAAATGTTTTGCGAATAAAGAGGTGTGTGTGTGTGTGAATACCGGGAGGAAATAGTTTGAACATTTGAGGGATTGATATGTTTATTATTTATATGTTTGTATAATCAATACAATACGTTGTTTTTAATTATTGCATAGCTACTTTTCTATCCTCCTGTCTACGAAGCGATGCTGATAAATTCTCAGCTTAACCAAGTTCGTAAAATCTGATCAAATACTCAAGCTTAAAAATCTTTTCTTGGAAGTTCTTGGTCGGGAAGAGGACTTTTCGTTCATTTTTGTCTAGGTGAGTGTAATTATTTGTTATTGAATTCATGGTTTATTATTTTCATCATTATTATTGATTGTATTGTGATTTTATTCTCTTCTATATTCTTTTTTTCGTTTAGCTAATGACTTGTTGTTAATAATTATATTTGTTTGATCATTTTTAACGGCTCCAAAACGTAACTGCTTCATTTAATCGTCTTAGCGAACATTTTTTGCATTTCATCCACATGACTGATGCTAACCTTCAGGAGAATGACTCATTGCGATTTCTTGGTTAAACGTTTTCAACTGACAAAAATTGCAATGATTATATCGAATGAATTGCTATGTTTGCTGCTCGGAAAGTTGGTTTACTGCAACGTTCTTGACTGTTTTTAAAACCAAAATCTCTCTGACTTACAAACAAACATGTATTCTTACTGAATGCCTCTAAAAATACATCTGCAAAGGTAAAAGGTTAAACATTGACTGGTTCGGTCTCATCAACTAGAAATAAAATCATGGTTATTTTTGTTGATTACTTAAATGCATAAAGTCGCTAACAAACATGTGTGGGTGCATAGGCATATTCATGTGTGTGTGTGTTACTCCATCAGCAGTTACGTTGTGGAGGCGTTAAAATCAACAAGCCATTTCTTTTATGAGTTAACAATAGATTGAAGTTCAATTTTGAGATCATTTGCCATTTTGTGCTTATCGAACGTATCAGACTTATAATTACGAAAGGAGCAGATACGTACGACTTGAGCGTAGATATCGAGCTAAGAACTATTTTTACCTTTTATGGCAGCTAAAATAGTTGCAGATTTTTCACTCGAGTCGCAGTCAATATTTGGACCTGGGTGAAAGGTACAATTTTGAAAGTTTATTTTTGTACCAAAACATCAAAGTCTTTAACTGGCATAAACTTTTACAAATATCGTCTTTTGTCCTTTTTAAATCTCGGCATCGGATGTACAAGCAGTGCAACATTTATTGATGCAGAATATGGAATGAGCGAGTCGAGTTCAAATTCCCGCCAAGACAGTTGCCTTTATTTTCTTACAAATTCACTTGAGAAAAACACGGATCCATTCCTCCCTCCTCCAGCTATGGGATACATAACGGAATAGGCAGGAGTCTTCAGCCTTGGCTGGGAATAATTCTAAGAGAAGGAAAAAAAGGAATCGGGGAAAGAGTCCGTTATTTTTGCCAAAAAGGCATAGCAATTCACGAATAAAAAATAAAATCAATCTGTAGAGAACTATTTTAACCTACGTCCTAAAGAAAAGTTGAAAACCTAACTTTGTCATAGACGTGGTTTAATTCATCCGTTTCGATGCGCAATCTATTTTCGAAATACCTATTTCCAAGGGTTAAAAAAACAATTTCCCTTGCCTGGGCGGCTTTTGCAGAAGTTTATAGTATCATAAGAAGTCGTAGGTCAACAATCGAAGCTCTGAGATACTTGTTTAATGGATATGTTTTGCCAGCGATGTCTTATTGAAGTGAACATGGGAGATCACCAACACCACTTGCAGTGGCTCAACTTAAAATAGATCAAATCATGGCATCAGCTTACGAGTCAGGAAGAGCAACATCTGGATTCGCCGACAAACTGGAGTGAATACCATAAAAAGGAGCAAACATAGATGGGCGTCTCTCGTGGACTATTAGAGCGACGAATGGACACCAAAGCGGGCGAAAAGAACTATAGAGCGGCCAGAGGCAAGATGGCATGACCACCTCACCTGATACCGCGCTCTCTCATAGCCCAGTATGGCCAGAGATAGGAAGTAGTGGATGTCAACAAGCAAGTGAGGAAACCTTAGAATTAGATTTGCATTTGACTGTATTGATGTTACTACGGCGATAAGGACTGTCGTCATCACACATAAAGTTTAAATTTAATGCCGTCCTAATTGAATTTGTGCCAAACAAACAACAATCATCAGTTATGATATTAAATATAAAGAAACGATTTGTGATTTTAAATAATACTTTCAATTAAAACATTCAAAGTGAACGTCAAGCTGTCTGAACGTATCCTTGATAGAAGTAGATATCGGAATAATATAAATGTATATCACATCTATCCTTTGTTCTCTTAAGTAAAACTAAAATTCTTATTTCGAAACATTTTTTTTCCTGAGTTTTCCATGTAATCCGAAATATAAATTTTTATTGGATTTCTCCAGAACCCAATCTGGATTTTGTGGCTTTTTAGATAATGTAGTGAGTGAAGAAAGCAGATCCAATCTCATTTTCAAAGCTAAAAGCTTCTGATTAAGAACGGGGACTTTTTTTCGAACCGATAGAAATATTTCCCCCCCGAGGTGGGAAGAAAGAAAAAACTTTCATCCACATTTGAAATATTTTTAACATGTAAAAAATATCCCAACTTTTTAAAATATGAGATTTTTTAATTTCATTATTTACAAAAATCCCTTTCCGGATAATTTGATGCAATGGTTTATCGTACGTTTTATCGAATGGATACTTTTAAAAAGATGAACTGTTATTTATGTAGAAAGTCCTTTTTATATTGAAAAGATAAAGAACAATTTCATTAAGATTTTTTGAGATGTTACACTGCTCTTTCTCACGTTCTAAATCAAAAACATTTTTAAAGAAAAATTCGAAATCTTTAGGCGAAAATAAAATATTTAGTTAACACTTAAACCCTTATGCTGCCATATCAATTCCGATGCTTCTGATATGTACTTATAGATATTTGACAAAATCCACAGAAAAATCCGCTATGTTAGCGGTCCTGATCTAACATATCGGCTTCAATCATAATCCCACCCTCGTATGTCTTTTCTGTAAAAACATTTCATGGTAAATTGTTCCGATGAACATTTCTTCTTCCCGAATATAAGTGCATTACTCGATTGGCAGCTAGGTTCCATAATGTTGGAATTTCCAGGTGTAACCGTTCTATTCGGATGGTTTCTCGCACTTCGCGCATGTGGAACTCTCTTCCGGTTTCTTATTTACCAGTGAAATTTGATCGTCCAATGTTTAAATGCAATCTTTTGTCTCCTTGAATCCTGCTCTTTTATTATCCCCTCTCAATAAATAATTCAATTTCACTCTCAGTAACACTTTGCTTCTTAGTTGCTTTATCGCCATGCTTGGGTAGAAAAGATTTTTTTAAATATCCCAGAAATGGTTTGAATGGCCGTTGGAAATAAATCCAAATAATCTCTTGAACAATTTCGCCGATCTCTACTGAAATACCAACACAGTTTCAGTATTAATAAATTGTCTGTTTTATATTTTCTACGTCACTAATTCTAATTTTAACCCTCTCCTTAATACTCGTTTAAATACTAGTACTCTGACCTACTTGGAATTCTATAGATGGTCACTAATATAGACAATGTCTAAAGTAATAAGTGACAGGGACAGATTAATAGATGAAGAATTGTAGGACAGCCAGTCGTATAGATTCCTCGACAATATAAGCTGTTTCAGAAAAATACCCCTAGAGTTAATGAATGCAAGACAAGAAAAAGCCTCTAAGAATCATGAGAATAAAAACAAAGATGAAGATGTTAGTCAGAAAGTAATCGTTTTATTTGCCATTGAGCTAATATCTATGTCTTCGCTATTATTATCACAAGTTTTCGACACTGTAACCTCTGACCTGTTTCAGGGAAACTTTTCAGATGTCTGTCGATTTGGGTCAGTAATCAAGGAATATCAAACTAAACCTTTAATTTAACATTAATTGTTCTTCTTTCGTTGTTCATCTTTAGTCTTGGTCTTATTTTGTACTGCTTAGTAATTACTTAACCTTGTTCCACCGTACTAAAGAGGCTTGAACTCTCAATTACTACACGACAAAATTTAGAAATCAAACATTAGTCTATTACGCTGAAAGACTATTTTGTATCTAGAGATTTAATCCCAATTAAAACAAAACTTGTATCTTTTGTTATAACCGTATTTCTGGTCGAATCCATGTCTATTTTAGGATACAATGGAATTGTATAATAACTTCAGCGCTAAACGACGCTCGATTTTTTGGCAAACAAAAGACATTGAAAAAGCCAAAAACAAAAAAGGGAGAAAAAAAATTAGTCAAAACTATAAAGTTGGCTCTGATGAATGTTATATCTCTTTTTTCTGATCTAGATAATCCAAGTTAAGCTATGCAAACCGACATGGCATCCCATTGCATAAATAAAAAATTGCTTAAACATTCAGCATTAATCAATATCTGCAATATGCTATGAAAGAAACTTGCCTTTAACTTTAATCAGTCCTGTAACACCGTGTCGGGTCGATGAATTCCAATCGATTATTTGCTTTGCCATCTCTCATTCTACCTTGAAGCTCTCTGCAATTTATTTATACACAGATTCCACCCCCCCCTCTTATAAAGTTATTCCACATGTTCCTTTCTGGATGTTTCTTCTTAGTCCTTGGTCGTTTGATCTGCTGACGTGACCGTACCATACAAACATATCCAGTTCCTGACAATGGTTAAATGATCATCGTTAGGCCTGATGGCTGCGTTGATCTTCTCAGCGATCTCTACACCGGTAACATGATCAATGCAAGAGATAGCGTTTTTTTATACCCATATAGGAGGAGTACTAAGCATGTGATTCACTTTAGATTCAAAAGCAAAATTATCTCCAGACAAAGAATTTGGCGTATAGGTTGAAACGATGACAAAAAACATAGCAAGTAAAACAACATGCCTCAAAGTATGACATCGTTTTACAAGTTAACAATAATATTGGTATAAATAATATGTCATATGAAGAATAACAATTTTATTGCCACAATTGTCTACATACTGGTCATGAACAATTAGAAATAATTGAATATATTATTCAGATCTGTCTATATTTCTGAGATGAAGTATTGTAACTATTTACACTATTTACATTGTTTGGACTGTCGTCCTCATCTTTATTGTCATCTTTATTGTCATATTCCTGACGTTTCGACCGTTGTACGCTCCGGCCTTCTTCATGTGATATACGTTGAAATTTCGAACCGAACTCTTTATTTCGTTCGCTGGAGTAGATTGTTCTCGTGCCACGTGCCATGCCTTTACTGGATGCTTCAGTTTCAGTTGTCTCCCTTTAGTAACTGAATTCTCCAAGTCACCACTACAGTTGCGAGTTCCATACATGTGGACCTGTTTTAGACTCACAGCACTTTGTGTCAAATCAGTGGATTACTTCAACCAACGCTTTTATTTACTAGGCCATGTGGTGAGCTGCGTGTTCAATACCTGACCACAGCAGAGGTGAACAAAATCTATTTTAGTTGGCTTAATGTTTTTGGCTTAATGTTTTTTTTCTGTTAGTATTTAAGTGTGTAATTATTTCAGAAGTATGTAACGTATTTCTAAATATAAAAAAAAGGTTTTCCAGGGATGAAATCTTACTAAGGCATATCCACTTCCAGGACTTCTTGACCCTTGGATGTGCCCCTCTATGATTGACCATATCTTCAGGTTTGTATTCTTATTCATCACACTTGGTCAGTTGTGGGTTGGCGAGGCTTTCTTAACCCATAGTTGGAGGTTTTGAATTCACAGTTGTCCTTCTCCTAAATCGGTTAGCACCCAAGGCTACATATCTCAAGAATATTTCCACATCAGTCAATGTAACGGACTCGACTGGAATTTGAACTCTGCTCTCCGGATTAATCAATGTATGAAATAGAAAGATCTTTGTCTAGAGCCTCCGTTAGTGCTTGAACACATCACAAATTGTTTTTTTCTTTTAATATTTAGCAAGTCAAAGTTACATGATTAGTTAGGTAAGTTTTTATAATACGTCTGTCATGCAACTCCAAAGACGTCTGTAGTAATTGTGGTTGAAACGTATACAAAGATCACAGCAATCAATTTGTTCATTGCTTGCAATGTGAAAGAAAAAACAGGTGAAGAAACGTAGGATTGGTCCTACTTTGTTTAAAAGATCAACCTGAAAATAAATCATATTTTTGTATTTACATTCAGGAAATCTTCTGATCTTTTTGTCATTACCAAAGCGTTTCGATAGATGCGACCTTCAAATTTCTTTAGGTGTCTGTTGAACCAAGTAAATTTTAGGAAATTTCGAACTGACCCCCATCATTTGGTCTACAGGGGGAGATTGTTCTCGTTCCCCACGTCTAGAGGTATCTTGTCCTTATTTAATACTTCTCACATATTACTTACCCTGTTTCCGCTGAGTCTGTGAGTATAATGCCCCGTCGAGACTTTGTACTTGCAATCACTATAACAGACTCCTGAAGAAGTGCAGATCAGCCGAAACTTCGTGACAATAACAACAAAGATGAATATATTAGTTCGGAAGTAAATGATGTAAATAATGAATCATTTAAATTCATTTTTTTTATATTGATCTTTTCAGTCAACTTAAAAAAATAAATGTTTTGGGGTTTTATTTTTTTATCATTTATGCTTAAGACAATATATAACAAGAAAATTAAGAACTAAAAGCAATATCTATAACATTTTAAATAGTGTATTTGAAAACTACACGATACTAATTTTTTAACAATACTAACAGTATTAACAAAGTATTAAATAACACTGAGTCGTAAGGGCTTTGTTCAAAATATTATGTAAATAAATCTCTACAGAATATATGTAAAACTCTCGGCTTAATATATTCTTTGTAAGTTATTATCATCTTCAATAACACTGGTTTACAAAAATATTTTTTCTCTGAGGCAAGGGTTATGGTTAGGGTCAAGGTGATGTTTTTTAAAGAATAATTTTAATGGACTGAATTCAAATTTCTTAACATTTTTGCTAACTCCGAGGCTTTATGGTTTCCCATATCCCATTTTTATTCTAATGCATATAAATTCAAAATATACTGTCTTTTTTTTAAATCTATAACAAAAGAGAGCGTAGGTACAGAGTATAAATAATGTAAATAAAAGCGCTGCTGTATTAATTTAGAGACATATTAATAGTGAGTTCAATCCTTGTTCACAGTAGTATAGACATTAGTCTGGGTATGAATTATGTAATATTATTCGCATAGCTAAAGCTTTTACCGCTTTGAATAAAATGGATGTTATTTGGAAATCTGATCTACAAGACAACCTCAAACGGAGATTACATTTATGGTATATTTTTTCTTCTGAACATTGGCAAGAAATATAATTAAATATAATTACCTCTATCCTATATCAGATGAAATAGTTGGCTATATCTTTTATTATTGGTAACAGTTAGTAATAATACTGGTTTACAAAAAAAAAAAAACCAAAAAACTTTTCTCTGAGGCAAGCATATGAATAAACAGTTTTGCCTTATCTCTTCCAGTTCATTTTCTTTCACATACCACATTTTATTCTAATGCATATAAATTCAGAAT